ATGTACCCTCTGCTTTCCTTTGTGGTCTTGACCCTTTGCTGATAGCCCTCCCCACCCTAACCCTACCACTCTCACCCCATCACCACGCACCTACATCATGCCATCGATCAAATACTTTAAACACCTCAACTCCCACAAGAGTTTCTGATACCATAAAATTAAATGGGCTCAATTTTTGTTTTGCCAATGTCTTAGGGATCTCCTATGTGACTTGCCTTACTCTATTTCTAGAATATTCTCATGTGCAGTATTGTTAAGCCCTGGTTAACTCCTTTGTGATAGGACTCACACATCTCACATCTGAATGCCTGACACTAACTTGCACATGGTCATCTGAATGCCTGACACTAACTTGCATGTTCCACAAAAGTGCTGAACTGACCTACTGGAAGTATCTGAAATGTAATTGTTACCTCTGATGATACTTATGCTTTACTATTATGCCATCTATGATTACACTAAAATCCTAGAATTTTCCCAACTTCCTAACAGATAGCCTTTAGGAAGATTCTATTTCTCCTGAAATGCACTATGTCAAGGCTTAAAAAATAATCAGATAAGATTGTGTTAAAATTAATGCCTCCTTAAAAATAAGAAGAATATATTTCTTTTTATCCTCAGCTCTCCAAAGTCCTTCACAGTCAAGCGTGTCATGTTACAAAACAAAACACATCATCATCCTTTGAAATTCAGTTACCTCTGGGCTAACAGCTTAACAAAAATACAGAGACACTAACAACTTCTGACAGGAACTCAACCCTTAGGACAGCAAAATGGAAAGGACTTGAGAATATTTACCATAGGTAAAGGGTTTAGAGATCAACATACCAGCGACTGAATGTTCTAACCTACCACAGAGTCAAATTTCAGGAATAAACTAGCATGAAATAAAATTACTTTAAAAATCCATGAGAACTACACTGTCTGCATAATCAACAGGCCATCTGGTAAAAAAAATATATATATATTTTATACAGTTTTCATCTTTAAGGATTTATTTACCTAATTCAATCCAAAACATACAGTCTGATAGTTTTACCTTCTCAAGTAGTTATTTAGGAGCAGTGGAGTATAGATTCCAATTTGCTAATCAGTTCTTTTGCCCATCACATTCACAACAGAAAAAGGGTTTTTGGGTTATTTCTACACATGTGTAAAAGAGTCAAACAAAAATACTAGCCCTCATAAGCACTCACAGGTGTAGCAGGAGTGCCTGGCTTTGAGCTGGAATCCCACACAGCCTTCCCTCCAATTTCTAGCATACAGGGAAAACTCCAAACCAGAACTATTAAGATGATTTAAGTTCATAAGTTAATTTACATGTTATACTATTTGTCAAATGATTACTTAAAAAAAAACACACAGAAGTTTTTTAAAGATTCCAATCCTTAGAAGGCAACCTCAGTAAGCAAAAAGTAAACATACATATATGTATACATCAGATAACTAGTATCTGAAATGTAATTGTTACCTCTGATGATACTTATGCTTTACTATTATGCCATCTATGATTACACTAAAATCCTAGAATTTTCCCAACTTCCTAACAGATAGCCTTTAGGAAGATTCTATTTCTCCTGAAATGCACTATGTCAAGGCTTAAAAAATAATCAGATAAGATTGTGTTAAAATTAATGCCTCCCTAAAAATAAGAAGAATATATTTCTTTTTACCCTCAGCTCTCCAAAGTCCTTCACAGTCAAGCGTGTCATGTTACAAAACAAAACACATCATCATCCTTTGAAATTCAGTTACCTCTGGGCTAACAGCTTAACAAAAATACAGAGACACTAACAACTTCTGACAGGAACTCAACCCTTAGGACAGCAAAATGGAAAGGACTTGAGAATATTTACCATAGGTAAAGGGTTTAGAGATCAACATACCAGCGACTGAATGTTCTAACCTACCACAGAGTCAAATTTCAGGAATAAACTAGCATGAAATAAAATTACTTTAAAAATCCATGAGAACTACACTGTCTGCATAATCAACAGGCCATCTGGTAAAAAAAAAATATATATATATTTTATACAGTTTTCATCTTTAAGGATTTATTTACCTAATTCAATCCAAAACATACAGTCTGATAGTTTTACCTTCTCAAGTAGTTATTTAGGAGCAGTGGAGTATAGATTCCAATTTGCTAATCAGTTCTTTTGCCCATCACATTCACAACAGAAAAAGGGTTTTCGGGTTATTTCTACACATGTGTAAAAGAGTCAAACAAAAATACCAGCCCTCATAAGCACTCACAGGTGTAGCAGGAGTGCCTGGCTTTGAGCTGGAATCCCACACAGCCTTCCCTCCAATTCCTAGCATACAGGGAAAACTCCAAACCAGAACTATTAAGATGATTTAAGTTCATAAGTTAATTTACATGTTATACTATTTGTCAAATGATTACTTAAAAAAAAACACACAGAAGTTTTTTAAAGATTCCAATCCTTAGAAGGCAACCTCAGTAAGCAAAAAGTAAACATACATATATGTATACATCAGATAACTAAGTAGGACATTCTCTGGACAGTTACCTACATCCAGTAGAAAGAGAATAGAAAACTACATGAGCATGAATTTGCAATCAATTTTGGGCTATTTTGATTATTTCATTTTAACTCAAACTCTCAAAAATCTGCAAGTTTTAAAAAGATGACCAAATTTAGGCTGAACTAAAAATATAAAGATATAAACACTTGTTGCCAGTAAGTTGGTATAATCAAATTGTTTATAGTGAAATAAACAGAAATTCAAACACATCTCCTTCATTTTGGTTAAGTTTCCCTAATTCTTCGTGGAACTACCTTGTATGATCATTCAAATGACCTAAGTGTAATCATTTTGCATACAATATGCTTCTCCTCTTACCAAAGGTACACTCTACCACGCAAGCCAATTTTATTCTAGTTTTCTTTATGTAAGTGTGAAAAAAGAACAGATGTTTTTCCAAAATTATTTAAGTTTGGAAGACATTTATTCTATAGTTTTCTTCAATATAAATCCTTCAGAATCCCCAAACCCTTCATGGTGATACCTTAATAGCTGACTTCCTAAAAGTACAAGTTATTAAATAAAGATCAGAATGCAAATGCACAGTGTGGTTCAACTGATAAAATGCTGATCATAACCGGATGTTGTGAATTATTTGCCAATTTCATTTTCCACCATGGACTTAAAAAAAAAAAATCTAGTTGTCCTGTATGTCATGCAGTAAGAGATTTCTAAAACTTTACCACATTATACAGCTCAGACTACACTGCCTAGATTCCTTTAGATCTTGTCCGATAAATTGTTTCATTGGAGTTATCAGCTGGCTTGATCATGCTTCAAATAAAACTGATTAAAATGGTCTTTTTAAGAAAGGAGAGTTTGCTCTGAGTTACTCCAAAGTCCTGCCGATACTAAAATGAGATCCTACGGTGTGCTGAAAGATGCAGAGAGCTGTCTTTGAGTTATTTTTTTCATTATGCAAAACTTGGCCCTGGAGAGATGGCCATGTACCTCGTTAGCTGAAACAGGCAAGCATGTCAGCACTGCAAATTAACTTACCGGAGAAATCTGAAGTGGATTCAGATCATTCAGGTTTCTAAAGTAGATCTAAATCCACTCAACTATTAGGGCAACCTGGTGAGGTTAGAATCTCAGAAATGTGTATCTTTATTGTCTTTTCTCCCCACACAGAGAATACCAATTCCTCCTTAAGCTAAATCTGCATGAGGAAACAGCAAATGTTCTATGGCAACCAACAAGGAGAGGAACAAGTCTAAGTTTTCAAAACTATAATTAGTATATACTCACAATCTGCCCCCCCCCCAAGCCCAATCCAATAAATACAAATGGGAACAGTCCAATACTCTTTCTCCTTATATTAAATCTTTGTGTTTATTAAGTGAAAGGCTCCCAGGGACCTTGTATTATTATGTAACACGTGTCATCCAGCCAGTGTGATGTAGTTTCGAATAGAGTAGCAAATCACTTGGTTTATCAATTCTGTCATTAGTAACTTAAAATACCATTCATCTGGGTGCTTATTCTGTGTTAACTTCGTGTTCCTGCCACTTTACTATCCATAAGAACTCCAAGTTGAGTGATGTGTAACAAGTTCCATTCAACTTTCCCATCCAGGTTGTGAAACCCACTGACATCAGAACTACACAACTGTTTAAAATGCTAGAACAATACCAGAGTGGTTTCATCAGAAGCCAGGAGTGAGGCAAATAATGTGTCCACGATGTCAATAAAGGTAAGTGGACTTCTCTTCATCTGACCCCGGAAACATGTAACCTTCTGGGGGAGACAGAGGCACCCCATTAGCAACATTATATTAAGTCCTTAAGGAATATAAGCAATATTCTCCCTCAAATATTATGAAAAAAATATTTTTAAAAAATCAACAGACTAGGTTTCCATTTGTGGATTGTAAATGTCATCCAATTCTGGAAATCAAAAACTCTTTCCTTTTATATGTGTATCTGCTTATTTTTGACACTTTAATGATGCCAGAACATCAGGTTTGAAGGGTACCAGCGAGAATCGCCAGCATGTAGAGAAATCCGGGAGAGCCACAAAGCATAGAAAGTAAGGGTGATAGCAGACGCATTTCAAGTCTGATGAGCCTGCAGTTAGGATTTTCCGTTTGGGCAGGTTTGCCAGGGCATTTAGGAGATGAGGCTTTCAATTCTCTCACTCATAGATACACAACCTGACACACACCTGGGGCGCATTCAAACTCTACGTACAGTAGACGGCCTATATGAACGTATACATGTATTAAAAAAATAGCTTGACATCTAACAAAGACAGGAAGGCAACGTAGGTGCAGTGAGTCTGGTCTGAGAAACGTGCACAGCCCCTCAAGAAGTGCGGGTTAAAATGAAACATTTCTGAGGGTGAGGATCAACAAGGCAAGCGGGAGGGGCGGGAGCCGACAGACAATACATAGACCCGCAGCTCCCCACCGACCGGGTGCCACACGGACCCGGAGCGTAACCCCTGCTTACTGTGGACTCTTGGGGTAGAAGGGCAGGGTCACATGGCTGAGATCCTGGATGTCAAAGGCGGTGGGCTCAGCGGAGATCGCCTGCCGCTTGGTTCGCGGCTCGCCTTGCAAGGTGCTCGCGCTCTGCTTCTGCGCCTGCTGGGTGGCCGGCCGGATCACCGAACGGTACTTGTCCAGCTCGTTCTGCAGCTTCTGGATCAGTTCGTCCTTCTGATCCAACTCCAGCTCCAGCTCGTCGATGAGAGCATCCCGCTGCCTCAGCTCCTCGATCTTCTCCTGGAGCGCGTACTGTAAATCCCGCAGGGTGCCCATGCTCCTCCGGGCTGCCGGGGGCTCCTTCCTGCCGCTGCTCCGCGTCTTGGGGCTTCCTCCCCTCTCCGATCAACTTTCCCCAAAGTCGCTGCTGCCTCCCGAGTGCAAAAGCTTCCTACTTGAGACCAAAGCCAGCCTTGGCTTCTGAGCATGCCCAGTCTGCCGGCTCCAGCCACCGAGAGTTTCAGGGCAGATTCCACTTCTCCGGGCTGACTGTGAGGCTGAGAGCGGGGATAAGCCAAACGGCAGGTCGGGCCGGGCTTCCACCTGAACCGTGGCGGGCGCCGGGGAGGAGAGACGCGAGCGCGGCGGCCGGGCCGCGGGAGAAGGGGCTCGTACGGTGCGGGTGCGGCGGGGGGCTCCGAGGCCGCGGCGGGTCTGCCCGGGTCACTCGGCCGGGCGCCGAAGGAAGGCGGCGGAGAGTGTGGGGAGCCTGATAAACCTTGGGCGCGCCAGGGGATGCGCGGGCGGAGCGAGGCGGGAGCACTACTTCGGGGGCGGGGAGGCGGGCGGGAGAGGGCCGGAGGGACCCCGAGCGAACTGGGGAGGCGTCTGCCGCCCCGGAGCCTACCGGGCTGGAGGATGTGGGGGCTACGATCCCGGCGACAAGCGAGGGCAGAGCGGACTCTGCATCCTAAGAGCTCTGAGTTCTGGAGGTGTCTGGACTGGCAGCCTCGCGGAGAGAGGATCCCCAGCCTGTGGCTGAGCTCTCGCGTCTGCCTCGCCGCCTTCCTCACGGGGAGCGCCTCACACAGGTGGTAACGCTTGAAAACAAACTTGCCTCTCAGGAGGGGAGAGCGAGTCGGTGCAGGGGAGGGGTTTCCACTCACACCCGGGTGCTTTTGGGGGAGAGGGGGAGCTTTTGATCCCACCGCCACCCGCGCCAGCGTTTGCAGCTGCTTCGAATGACTCCCCTTTCCGCTCCTTCTAAACTCGGATTCCTGAACTCTTCTTAGGGCAAAGGCCAGAACGGGATGGACGGAGCCCTAGAAAGCTGCTTAGCTTCCCCACTGTCCGTCCCACCTAACCAGTGTGCGGAATAGTTCATGGAAGGGCCTTCCTCCTTCCACTTGCTGAATTTGCAGCGGGGAGTCGAGGGTGGGAGGCGGGCAGGTCAAAATCACTGCGGTATTCCAAAAAGTTCACTCTGAAATTGAACCATGCCTTTAAAACTACTTTCTTAGTAACCAAACTGTTAGGGCGCTAGCCTTCCCCTTGAACGGCAAAACACAAACTTTGACGAAGAGAGAAAATCTTAAAGAAAAGGGGGGACCCTAGACGGGCCGGGGTAAACTGTACACTGTACCGCCCCACCCCCACCGCCCGCATCCCTGCCTGCTCCGTATTTCCAAAAATGATGACAATTTAGATAGCATCCTTTCTGTCCAAGGGCAATTCTTCGATCATGTTTAGAATCTACCAGAACACTTAAATTCCTCATATTTACCTAAATCTTCACCGAGTCATTTAAATTTTTAGCATCTTTATTAGCAGCCCTTTAATTACTATTCTTGAGAACTCAATGTTATAATCCTCGATGTTCTATTTGGCCATTCCTTAACACTAAATAAAACAAAGTAGACAGAAGATAATTAGTAACCAAACTGTTAGGGCGCTAGCCTTCCCCTTGAACGGCAAAACACAAACTTTGACGAAGAGAGAAAATCTTAAAGAAAAGGGGGGACCCTAGACGGGCCGGGGTAAACTGTACACTGTACCGCCCCACCCCCACCGCCCGCATCCCTGCCTGCTCCGTATTTCCTAAAATGATGACAATTTAGATAGCATCCTTTCTGTCCAAGGGCAATTCTTCGATCATGTTTAGAATCGACCATAACACTTAAATTCCTCATATTTACCTAAATCTTCACCGAGTCACTTAAATTTTTAGCATCTTTATTAGCAGCCCTTTAATTACTATTCTTGAGAACTCAATGTTATAATCCTCGATGTTCTATTTGGCCATTCCTTAACACTAAATAAAACAAAGTAGACAGAAGATAGATTAAGATTCTGAATTGCAATCCAGAACTATTCACTGGAATCTACATTAGCCAAGGACATGTATCAGTCTCAAAAAAGGTGCTCACTTTTGCTTTTGAATTCACAACCTGTTCTAAGAAGAGCAAAAAGGAAAATGGGGAGGTGAATGAGGAAAAAAGGAGGAAGGAAAACAACAGAACCAGCTAGCTAGTGTCACCTTAATAAGCTTTTTGATGTAAAGTGTATTTAATTTTGTCTGTAATTAAGGTATAAATGAAAAAGGATACACAATCCTAAACATTCTACCCAGATTATGATTTAATTCTCTCACTAGACATGATATGACACAGTTGTTCTGCTTTCCAATGTGGATGTTTTCAGAAGTGCATTTATTTCATTATGCATTGTACAAGGTGAATGATTCCCCCAAACAAACATGGATAACTTACAAATACTGAGAGCAGTAAATAGTTCTGAATTAGTTGTTTTAATGAAAACTAAACCAAGCAGAAGTGCTCTGGCTTTGTATAACTGACTCTTTTCTAAAAGAGCTTCCATGACATTTTCCTTCTTCCAGGCAAAAGGCCAAATTCTTATCTTATTTAACCTATGGGAATTCTTTAATTCCATGGGAAAATGTCAAAAACTTAATGAGACTCCTTTCCTATAGATCTATTATAGGGGTCCAGGAGCCCAAGAGTTTATGTCTAAAAATATATCAGGGGCATTGTATAGGGGACATCATTAGACAACTGCTAAGCAAGATTATGCTGTAAGGTTCATTTGAGGCTTAAATGGGGTTACTTAATGTCTTTGAGCAGCACAAAGTAAGAAGACTCTTCTTCATTTGTAGAAAGCTTGTCTACACATAAAAAGGATAAAAGAAACTAAAGCATTTTCCCCAAAAATAAAAAATTGCATTTAAACCAAGAAAAAATTAAGTTTTTCTTTAACAAAAATGAAATTTCTTCCACTGTTATGTAAATATTTTTCACTAAACTACCATAATCTATGTATCACTAGAGGATGTTACATTTTCATTTTAAATGGAATTCTTGTGATACAAAATATATTCCTTGATGAATCCCATGGTGAGAATCAGAAATCTGTTGTAATAAATGCAAAGAAAGTAACAGCTGAGAAGATATGGCTATTACAATTTGACTTACACTTTAAAAGATGTTCAAGTTATAAGAATATATTTGGCTGCATTACTCTATATAATGAAAAAAATAAAATTATCCTTAAATACTTTATATATGAAAAATCCTGAATTCTAGGCTTTTCTATTTTTAAAGTCAAAATAAATATTTTAAGTATTTCAGTGATGTCCTTGACTGTTTGTTTAAATCTCAAGGGACCCTGGTTTTCTATCTCTACCTTTTGAGTGATTCTAATATTTTCTTAAACATCTTTTGCATTGCATTTGGTAAATGCTGGAAGTAAATTTTACATACAAAATCTAGGTATTATAGTTTCATTTCAACAGACAGATATATTTACTATATGTCTTATAATAAACTTAATTGGCTAAGTTATAATATCACAGATCACACACAAGTCTACTTTCTGCTATTAGAAAGTGGCTGCCGCAAATTTGGGGTGGAATGAAACTGCATATATTCAGCTTCCCACTGCCTAGTTGGGATGAGGTCTTGATGTTAGATGCTAAAGCACAGAACAAAGCCATTTTGAAGGAACTTAATTCATATACTGAAATTCCATAGTAACTTTTCAGCAGTCTCTCTTTGTAATAGCTCTAACAGGAGCAAAATTCCAGTAGCCAGATCCACCTGTGGCATATTAATGCTCTTCAATTCTGCATCCAACCCTCATGATTGAGAATAACTAATACCACACCTTACTTAATGGGATCTCAGAATCACTTAATGAGACCTTCAGTAATTCAGCTTTATCATAATATTGGCCATTAAAAAAATAGTCTTTTGAAAAAAAAAAATAGTCTTTTGAATGTATTATTCTACACTAAAAACACAGTTAGCCTGAAAATAACTGTGATAATTTTGTCATCCAGCTGCCCATTCCACTGGTGCTATGGACATGGAGGCCTGGAATGCTTCAGTCCATGGGGTCGCAAAGAGTCGGACATAACTGAGCAACTAAACTGAACCAAACATTTCCTGCAAGAGTCCAAAAATCAAAATTTCCTTCTGTCATTTCATGTACATGTCTTGAACAGCAAAAAATAAAACCAAAAACACAGCTAAGCTTTATAGGTCATGTAAGCAGCCCCTTACAGAAGAATCTAGGTATAAAGGTAACTAATAGTGGTAAACACACTAGTTTGCTCTAAAATGTCCATCTTAATCGTGACCTCAATAAAAATAACTAACTTCCTGGAACACTTAATGTATGACAAGCACTGTTCATGTAACCTTACAAGTTGGACATCATTTCCTTTCAGATTTGAGAAAAAGGAAGCAGAGAATCACTCATCTTGTGTTGCTATTCAGTCTCTAAGCTGTGTCCAACTCTGCTACCCCATAAACTGTAGCACACCAGGCTCCCCTTTCCTCCATTATCTCCTGGAGTTTGCTCAAATTCATGTCCACATAGTCAGTGATGCTATCTAACCATCTCGTCACTCACCTAATATCAAATCCAGACCATTTGGTGCAGAGCTCATTCCCCTACCACTGCCCCTCACTGTGTTCTGCAGAACTTCCAAGGGTTGGTAATGCCTTCTTCTGGATCCAGAGTGATAAGATATTAATTAACATTAACTGGCCTGACTTTGGAGTTAGGGATGTGGGAAGAGGAGAAATTTGGAAAATCGTAAAACAGTAGGAAAAATATTTTTTTTAAAGTTCCTTTTCCCCAAACTGTCTTTATTTCAGCCTCATTTCATCTTCAGTTTATGGTCACCAACTTATACCCATTTACCTGGTATTGCCCTTGTTTTAATATTAAAATTGGTTGGGACTGTCCTACTTTTTACACTAAAGTCCTAGTTACACCTTGGTCCTGGGCAAACCAGGAAGGCTGATCATCCTCTATAATTCAGGAATGCAAAGCCTCTCTATTTTACAAATATTTTCATATTTTGTATTCAAAGTTACTGATAGAAAAGTAAAACCAAGGAAGATCTGTAATAATAATACCTATTGTTTTAAGCACATTACAAACCCACTTACACATTTGTTTCTGTGAATATGTTTTAGGAAAGCAATCATCCAATTTCAATGCATACTAATACACCACAGGAATTGTCTTTGGACTGTAAAGGGGAGAGGAGTCAGACAACAGAATTTTAATTACTTCGATAAGTCAGACAAGGATTCAAGGCTCTCTTTTTGGTTTGCTCTTACAAAAATCTAGAATTTAGACAGATTGGATTC